GAGAGACAGAAAGACACCTGATAGCATCTTCCACCCTCTTGTGCAAATAGTTCTTCCTTTTCCTGCTTCCAGTTCCAAAAGGTTTATATTAAATTTTAATCAGGCATGGCAGTGCACATCTGTAATCTCAGCAACCAGGGGATTGAGGCAGGAGGATGGTGAGATCTAGGAAAGCCTGAGCTATACAGTGAGTTTGATGTTAGCATGCGCCACATAATGAGACCTTTCTCAAAATGTACACCCCCAAAATCTTTCACAATACATTTTTGCATATTTTTTAAATAAAAAAGACATCACATTTTGAATTCTTATTCATTTAAATCTATAGTCTTGTTCTCATAGGCTTTATTTCTTTTTAAATTGGGTTTTGCAAATTATTAACCAAAATAACACATTATTAAGACAGGAAGAGCTATAAACTATGCAGTTAAATTTTTGGGGCCTCATTCTTAACACTTTGAATTTGGGAAGAATTAAAACCAATGGTTTTATTTATAAGTGTTTATACAGAGTTATCCATTGAAAGTGGTTTGGTTTTTATTGTTCCTTCCTGTGCTGCTTCACTGTGTCCCTGCAGACTTGTAGGGGATGCAGATGGCAGAGGGTTTCCTGCCGTTAAATTTCTGCTCACACACTCTCTGGTTCTGAGAGGTTTGGAAGCGGTCTTTACCTCTGCAGCACTTAGTCTCCATCATCTTACAAAGAAGGAAAATAGCATTTTACTTATGGCTTTGAAATGAGTATGAACACTACTGAATTGTTCAGTGTAAAGCACTTGCAATAGCATCTGATATATATGTAGGGCCTCAATAATGGATAAAACATTATTATTTTATATGTTATAACATAAAAAATACAGATGACACAAAGGTCTAAATTTGCCAAAAGACTATGAAGAGGTCTCAATATGTTAAAATTCCTGGCTGAGTATGCATACAAGCATCAAGCTGTTTATGGAATCATAACTCCCTCATTGCAGAACATTCTCTGAACTTTATTATGCTACAATTGGAGCAGAGCTGTCATAAGCAAGAAGTATTGAATTGGGCATGAACTGCATAGATTCAGAAACACAGATAATAAAAGCCTTCCACATCGGCATTTACTGCTCATGTCAATGCCGTCTGCAGCCTCCATCTAGATCCCAGAACTATGAGCCCAAATTTCAATAAGTAATCTCCCTCATTTATTGATAGCTCAAGATCTTTGTTGTCGCCCCTCAGATTGAAAGCTGGCACAGATGCAAGCATACAAGCAGTTTTACAGTTTAATGAGTTTAAGAAAAAATCTTTTTAGAGCTCAGATTCTCTAATACAATTCCAAATTGCAATTCAAGCTTGAAAAGAAAAAAAAGGAAAGGAAGGAAAAGAAAATCTGGAGGAGCTTAGAGAAGTGAAATAAATGAAAATGACACCCTGACTTTCACTGTGAGATTTCTTGTATGTGATAATTAATCATGGTCTTCTCTGGGTTCCTGTTAGAATTTCTACCTACTCTCCTCCATATCTCTTAATTTTTACAACTGATTGCATTAAAAAGGAGACAAAATAATAACATGAGTGAAAAAATAGTAATATGAATTAGGTCATTTAAATCTAAATCACTAGTTGATCTTTTATTTTTTTCACACACAGATGGCCATGCCAAAAAAACCTGGTCAGGACCAACCTTTGCTTTTACTTTTTCTGCTAAATGCAAACATGTCTACCAAATACTTCAGTCACCTTTACAAGCTTTTCTCTTGAAACCGTTGAAGTTACAAGCCTCCATGAGGGATCGTTCCTTTTTGTAATAAAAGTTTGAAATTTTTTGTAGTATGATAAAAGTAATAAATATACTGATAATTTTATATTTTAATGGAAGCTTTACTGAAATCAAGTTCTGTTGTTTTGGGGGCGAGTTCTAAACATTATAACTTTTTATACTTTATTTATTTTTATTAAGAATTTTTTCTTTATTCTACATATGAACCACAGATTCCCCTCTCTTCCCTCCTCCCACCCCCCTCAAGATTTTCCCCCATCCCACCCTTCATTCTCTCCTCCTACAAGGTAAAGCCTCCCATGGGAAGTCAGCAGAACCTGGTACATTCAGTCGAGGCAGGTCCAAGCCCCTCTACCTGCATCAAGGCTGTGCAGGGTTTCCCACCATCAATAGTGGGCTCCAAAAAGCCAGCTCATGCATGAGGGACAGATCCTGATCCTACTGCCAGGGGGCCCCTTAAGTAGATCAGGTTACACAAATGTCTCACTTATGCAGAGGGCCTAGTCCAGTCCCATGCAGGTTCCACAGCTGTTGGTCTAAAGTTCATGGTCTTGATTCCCCTTGCTCATAGAATTCCTCTTCTGTCTCTTCCACTGGACTCCTGGAGCTTGGCCTGGTGCTTGGCTGTGGATCTCAGTATCTGCTGCCATCAGTTACTAGATGAAGGCTCCATGATTATGCTTGATTTTAAAGAAAAGTCTTTCAATTGCCCTGCATTTTCTATGACTTTAGCAGTAGGCTTTTCATGTATGATTTCAAAATAAGGAAACATATCTATACCTAAAAATTTATAGGATTTTTTATTGCTGAAATAAAGGTGATTTATTGTCAAATACTTTTCAAGTAAAGAATGAGAGAGTTTCCTATCTTTCATTTGCTGCTGAGGTGTGGGTTGTCCATTGGCTTTGCATGCTCAACTAATATTACATATTATCGGGGGAGCAGGGAGAATAACTCAAAATGGTTTGAAGTATAATTGTTGATGTGGTTTGGAGCTCATTATCTTGCTGCCATTCCTACCTGGAGTCTCCCATCAATGTCTTTGTCAAATTTCTAGCCCAAGATAAATTCTCAACATTTACAGACACAAGATTCCTCAGAACAACATTATAATTTATGACTAATTTACTTGTAGATCATAAGGGAAAATGTATAATTTCTTCTTTGATGTGTATACCAATTAGCATTAGTAAAACTTAAGTTCTGTCTACCATGATGAAATATTCCTCAAGTGTGAGATCTGGGCTATGATTCTGAAACATGGTGAATGGCAGCACAAACTAAACTCTGTGATGAGTTAGCAAAGCTTTGTAAAAATGAGTCCAGTTTCTGATTGGGAAAAGGACAAAAATGTTTTCCTCTAAGCAGGACACGGACATTGAAATTTTGAACTCATGGCAGCTATGCTGACATGCACTGGGCTTTTTCAAGACTGACCCCAACTACAGTCAGTCACAAAGAGAAGAGAAGCACACAGAGCCCTACCCTTTACAAATTAAACCATTGACTACCGTTATCAGTTGTGTACCCACTGCTGAATCCACCAGGATCTGATGCACAACTCCAAAGCCATAATTATACACACAGCCCTAGTTAATGTGGTGAGTCACAAAAAATAAATAAACTAACAGAGAAAGAGAAAGGGATTCTTAATGAAGAGGAGGAGTAGACAGGAAAGAGAGGGAGAGGAAAGAAGGTAGTGATGAGAGTAATCTGTATGCATCATTCACATGAAAGAGATTATCTAAGAACACATTTAATTACTAATAGAAATGTAAATCCATATCTTTTGATCCCCCCTTTACCTTCCTATTTTCTCTGTTCACTGTTCCATTCTCTTCCTCTTTAAGAATGGTTTTCTTTAAATTTCCCACAAACAAATGAGGACAAAATTTGTTTTTGCTATAGTTCAGCTCTTCAATATCCTCCAAAACCCTAGTATTGGAAGTTTGGTTACAGGCTTGAAGCATTACTGGAAGGTGAGAGAATCTTCATGAGGTGGAGCTTTGTGGGAAAAGGGCATGTCATTGAGGGTAAACCCTTGAAAGGAGTGTTGGAACACAATCCCTACCTATGATCCTATAATTCCTGGTCACCTTGAGGTAAACAGGCTGCCTTCCATGTGTTCCTACCATGGGATACAGTTCTTCCACAGCTCGAAAGCAGTAAGTCCTATATGAACACGAACTGAAATTTCTGAAACCATGAGATGAAGTCAATCTTTTTTTTTTTTTTTTTTTTTTTTTTTTTTTTTTTTTTTTTTTTTTCCGAGACAGGGTTTCTCTGTGTAGCTTTGCGCCTTTCCTGGAACTCTCTTTGGAGACCAGGCTGGCCTCGAACTCACAGAGATCCGCCTGGCTCTGCCTCCCGAGTGCTGGGATTAAAGGCGTGCGCCACCATCGCCTGGCGAAGTCAATCTTTTTACTCATTAAATTAAATATATCAGGTGTTTTGTCACATTATGAGAAACTGCATATCACAATTTTTCTATGCCCAGATTATTTCATTTAATACAGTGGCTTTTAAGCATCTTTGACACAAATGATGAGAGAGAAGTTTGTTAATAGGTTCCAAAGTACAATTACAAGGTTCAGGGAGATGACTCCGTGGGTAAGAGTAAATGATGTACACTAATAAGTTCAAATTTCCTGCACTCCAGCAAAAAGTCAGGTATGATTATACATGCATTTGTAACATTCACACTGTGGGTGAAAGCAGGAGAATCTCTAGGGCTTGTTGGCCACCAGACTAGCTCAAAGGTCAGCAAGAGACCCTGTCTCCAGGGAATATGGCAGAGGATGATAAGTCAGAACACCTGACATCTCCCTCTGTTCTTTGTGCACACACATGCATGTGCACCTACCTGCAGATAATACACATATCACATACATTCATCCTATAAATAGAAAGAATTGCTTTTGTATCTGGTATTCTATAGCATGGCACAGTAATAATAATCTTCAATAATCTATGATATTTTACAAAACAACTGGAAGATTCCAAAGATTCCCAACACAAAGAAATGACTGGTTTTGAAATGATGGAAATGCTATTTTTACCTAATTACCTGATGGTTCCTACATAATTTATGATATATATATATAGAGGGATAGAAAGACAGATAGATGGATATATGATAGATAGATAGATGTGTGTGTATAATACTATACTGTATATGTATATAATAATATACCTATAAATATGTATAAAGTGTATTCATTAAAAATGTGCTTAAACTCAATAATAAGCCGGCTTCTTTCTTATCTTTTCTGTTTTCTTTCCTTTCTTTCTCCATACCTTCATTTAACATGACTTGGAAGACAAAAGCAGCTGTAGAAATGATAGAGACACATTTTACAGAACTTATATTCTTTAATTAATCTATACTGTAGAGTCAAACTATCCTTGATAATTTATTAATATTTTATTGTCATTTTAGTGAAGATTGCAACCATGTTGAATAATGCTTAAATACACAAAATAAATACTATGCTGCCTTTTATCACATAAAAGAAGAAGGGAGAATGGAAAAGACAAAAATTTTTAAGAAAAAAGTGTATAGTTAATAAAATTGCATGGATTAGCTACCCTCTTGCTCTCCTCTGTGTCAATTATTTGGTCTTCAGACACATATCCAAAGAAGTAATGGTGCTCTAATCAATCAACGAATCAATAAGTTTCTCTGTCTCTCCCCTATCCTTCTGCTTTTCCTCCCTTTTTTCCTAACTCCTTCCTTCTCACTTTTATTAATTGTTGTAGTCTCTGAAGAAAGATGGAGTGAACATAAAAATATGTCTGAAGAAGTATAAGTTATGCTCTGATAGACCTGTACCACATTAAGTTTGATCTTAATAATTTAGTAATAAAAATTTTAAAGAATTTCCAAGACTCCACATGTGTGGCTTCCTTTCTTCTTCATTTGTAACATAAAATATAAAGTCAGTTCTAGACCTGACCCAGATCCATGACATCAGTCTTAGTTTACCAGAGACAGGAGATATCCTTATATTTGTGCAATTTATATTTTTTATCTTCATTTATGAGGATAAGTCCTGTCACAGCATACTTGAGAAATAAATGTAGTACTTATACATGTCAGAGTCACAATTTATCTTGCACAAGAGAACAAGACTGGTTGTCTTACTGGAAAAGATCTTAGAAAAACTACAAGATATAAACAAGCTGTACAGGCACTTCAACATAGAACCTGGATCTAGTGGACAACAAAGACCTCAGACCCACTGCTCTGAGTATGGCAATTATAGCAAAAACAAAAGTTCCTTTCTCAACTCAGGAAAACATATTCTGTATTGGACTTAATCTGAAACTTCATTCTACAGGGCTCATTTGTCCATAAAGAATGAAGTCCTCTAACACTTCCGATCTAGAACACATATTCACACCATCTTCAGAGCCCTGTATCTCTCATTAAAAGAAAGTGGAGAAAAAAATACATGTAATGGTCAAATATAACAGCAGTCTAGTGTCCCAGAGATACATTTCATTAGGATGTGAAGCATCTTTATGTAAAATCCTTTTCTTATAATTTTCTATAATATTCTGTAAACACAAATCAGCCCAGATATTTGCATCCTCAATAGATCCTTATATTTAAATTCTACATTTCTCATAAGTGCAAATGTGACATGCACTTATGAGTGCTAAGTATCTTTAGGTACTGTGGTGGTTTGAAGAAGAATGGCCCCCATAGGCTCATATATTTGACTATTTAGTCATCTGAGAGTGGTACTACTTGAGGAGAATTAGGAGTATGGCCTTGTTGGAGTAGGCTTGGACTTGCTGGAGGAAGTGTGTCACTAGGAGTTGGCTCTGAGCTTCCAAAAGTCCAAAAGCAGGCCCAGTATCTCTCTCTTCCTGCTGCCTATGGATCTGGATGTAGAACTCTCAGCTCCTTCACCAGCACCATGTCTGCTTGCATGCCGCCATGCTCCCCGCCATGATGATAGTGGGCTAAACCTCTGAAACTGTAAGAGAGCCCCAATTAAATGCTTTTCTCTTAAGAGTTTCTGTGGTCATGGTGTCTCTTCACACAAAAGAACACTGACTAAGACAGGCACATTAAATGAAATGGAGAAAAATCTAGACTTTTTAGTCATCGTTCTGTTAGATGAAGTCAAGCTTTGGGGCTCATAGCAATTGCAAAATGAAAAGGCATTGACAATAAAGATCATGAAAATAGTTCTAGGCAAGATTAATTCAATATCATTTTGTTTTCTCAATATTTCTTCCTCAATTAAAGAAACTATGTCCAAAAATTGGGTTTAGGCAAAAATGGATTAATCAATAAAGAAAGAATCTTAAAAGCACACACACACACACACACACACACACACACACACACACACACACACACAAATAAAAAATTAAAAATAAAAAAAATCAATAGTCCTCTTCTTTTCCAAACCAGAAGCCACAAAACTGAAGTGCCTCTCATTTTTGTCAATAGCTATTAAAACTAATTTAAAAAGTCATACAGGATTGTTACCATAAATTTAAATAAATGGCTGAAATCCTAAATAATCAATATCAACTTCTTTTTAGTGTTATAAATATGTTTTAGATAACTTCTGGAAAATTAGACAATGATTAGATGTGGTAAGATATTTTAACCAATTATTCACAATATGAAAAAATATAATCAATCTTTGAATTCTTGAAATAAAGTCATTTCCTGAAAATTCATGTTATATATACTCATGTAAGGCAAAATACCAGCACATAATGTTCATCCTCCTGAATTTAACATGACTTGTTTACACTGATATTTATTTTATTTAACTTTCAACTCTCCCATACAAGCGTCAAAGTTTTACCTTTTCCTGTCAAAACAAAAAGTACCACAAAAAATCCAGATCACTATGAGATATATATATATATATCAGTCTTATCAGCAATAAGTGTTTGAAATCTTCATTGAAAAGCAAGATCTATTGTTTTAATGTAGTCTAGTAAATAATAACAAATGGTTGGACAGTGTCTGTACCAGTCATTTTAAAAACAAACTAAGGTATAAATTTTTTGTAATAGATCATTTATCTAAGAAATTAAAATATTTTCCCAATAAAATAATCTAAGTCTTAGAAATGACCTATAATAACTAGTCAAAATTAAATCAAGTTTGACTTCTAATGCCTTGCATTATTTACTTTATTAAATTATTCTCTAATTTATGCTATTTAGAAAAATTATTTTTTCAACTCCTTATTCCATTTCACTCAGAGAGTGTACCTCTGCACATTGTAGACCCCTCCCTCCAAAGCCAGGTTTGTCATTTGTCACATGCATGGACTGTTATCATGCGTTACACACATCAGGTCTGGGTAGAAGATCACTACTTGCTCTTCCATCTGCATCATGAATAGAAATTTGTGCACAGCCAAATAGTTAGTTCCACTTATTAGCTGATTCCCAGAGCAGATAGCCATGTACAGCATATAAATTGGCATAAGTATTTCGATGTTTGTTGATGCAAATCATTAAAATTAGGGGTATGTTACTGCAACTAGCCAGTGATTAGAAGCAGTACTATGAACATCAAACAGAAAATTTATTGTTACTTTAAATAGTGTGAAATAAATGTGGTCAACTTAGAATATCATTTCCCATTATGAAAACAAACTTCAAATGCAGAGAGTTTTTGTCTTCATCAATGGCAGCATAAAATCCAAAGCCATCCTTAAAGACAGACAACTAAAAATGGATGAATTCTGGACCCAGCACTCCGACTGAGACACTATTCCAGATAGAGATTAAAATCTTTCAGACGTTTTTCTTTTGTGAAAACAAAAACAAAAAACACTGCCGGGCGGTGGTGGCGCACGCCTTTAATCCCAGCACTCGGGAGGCAGAGCCAGGCGGATCTCTGTGAGTTCGAGGCCAGCCTGGTCTCCAAAGCAAGTTCCAGGAAAGGCGCAAAGCTACACAGAGAAACCCTGTCTCGAAAAACCAAAAAAAAAAAAAAAAAAAAAAAACAAAACAAAACAAAAAACACTGTGCTAATAAAAGTCACTATTGCTAGATTTCTATTACTCATGACCAAAGGCAATCTTAACTATAACAACATATTGTTGCAACTGTCTAAATTTTTCTTATCTTTATTATATTTGGATTGAAATGTGAACGATTTTTATGACAAGAATCATGGACAGGAAAAAATAAAGGGAAAGAAAATAAGAAGAGAGCAGAATCAAATAGAAAAAAGACAGAAAAATGAGACTGAGAAAAGAGGAAGACTCATGTAAGGAATACCAAGAACTACAACTGCTAGATCATAGGCAAATTATTTTGTTTAGGTAAAGAATCTGTCAAACTATTATTTAAGTAGATGTACCAATTTGCATCCCATGAAAAATGATTGACAGTTCTTGTGTTCCTTGCCAGCTTTTGATATTGTCTATGTCTTGAATTTTAGCCATCCTAGCAAATTGTGCAATGGTACCCATCACTGTCCTCATTTGAATTTTCTTAATAACATATCAGGTAGAGCATAAATTTGCATCTTTAACTCCTTATTGCTAAGCCTTTGGTAAGGGTACTGCTTAGTGCCTTCTTGTTGAATTCTAAAAGTGTTCTTTATGTTTTGTTACTATTCTTTTATTAAATATAATCTTTTGAAAATATTTTCTCTCCTAGAAAAGCTTTTCATGTCATTATCTTTCCAGGATCTTTTATAAAAGCATAAATTTTAATGTTAAGTAAAATTAATTTTGATATTTTAGTTTTCTTTTTTCATGTACTTAAATGCTCAAATCTTTTTTTGTTTGTTTGCTTTTATCGTTTCTTAGCAATTTAACAATGACGTCACTTAAAGAATTAAGGTCATCAGCCTTGAAAATACTTCATTTTGTTCTCTGTGCCATTGTGCTGTCCCTCTCACATGTATGCAGAACTGTTTCATGTGGCTGGGCAGCTTCTCATACAAGGTCATAAAAGCATATGCATTCCACCTCAGTCTCATGGCTTACTCACATTGGGGAAGACGGCTTCCAACTCACAAGAACATTGAAGTAGCTCCACATAAGGACACTATAGAGAGGAACTGAGCCTTGTGACACAAGGTCATTACCAACCTGTTAGCCATGTGAATGATCTACCTCAACACTCCACTGGGGCATCAGATCTAGTTGACATTTAAGAAAGCACCCTCCTGAGGGACACTACCAGCTTGCAACCACCTCTCTCAAATCACTCACTAACAGAACTCATAGACGATTATGAGAAATCAGGCAATGTAAGCATCCATTTAAAAAAGATGACATTAAAGTATTTCCGTACAGGTGATCAGGTGATGCTAGATCATTAGTCTGAGCCTACAACTCTCTCTCTCTCTCTCTCTCTCTCTCTCTCTCTCTCTCTCTCTCTCTCTCTCTCTCAGATGAATATTTCTTATGACCTACATGCCTAGATAGGAATAACAACCGTGTCAGATTTTCTAAAGAATATCTATTTTTCCTTTGCTATATACATTACCTGAAACTATTTTTCATTTGTTCTTTATATATAAAAGTCCTTCAAATTTCATCTTATTAGTTTTCTTCAACAGTTCTATTTCTTTTTAACTGGTGAATGGATTTATTCTTTTCAATAGTTCTATGATGCCAGTCATTTTCTTTCACTGTGTATAAACGTAATTCTTCTGGCTTCTATCCACTGTTGTGAGTCAACATTCAATAACAGTATTATTTTCCCCATAATATAGACTGCCTTTTCCTCTGTTCAACTCTCTAGAAAGCTGGAAGTTTTCTTTTCCTGATCATTAATGCATGAGTTTTAATAGTCTCTGTGGAAGAACCAGCCTGCTTCCATCTTAACCTTTAAAGACATCTTATAGTAAAGACAAACTAGGTTAATTCATGTTTATGATTAAAACTCTTGTTTATCAAAGATTGGACTACATTCCACTTACAGTCTTAGCTACAAACGTTTCTGTACTGTCTGTTCCAGGAATGGCAACCATGTCTTTGTTTCAAAAGTTGTTTATAACCATCTTGCAACTCTACCTTTGTTTTAAAAGGTTATGTGACCACCAACGACTGCTTTATTATGCCCAATTTGCAACCATATCTTTGTTTCAGGAGACTGTGTAGGACTGACTTGTTATGCTTATGTTCTGCTCCTGTAACCCTACCTATTTTACCTGCCAAATCCCCCCTTTGGAAACCCCTAAGCCATGAGCTATAAAAACTTTGTCTTCCTCACATCCAAGGCTGAAGTTTTCAAGTTTGAAGTTTTCAAAACCGGCCTCAGGGGAGGCAGCCTGTGTAAATGAGTGAAAAGGCTTGCTTTAATTAACTGCTTGCTTTAATTAATTTGACCATGATGATCTGGGTCAGTGGTCTTTCTCTTCCCATCTTTGGGATTAACAGTGCTTGGAAAAGTTCTACATTATTTTTCTCATAGAGGAATCATAAAACTTGAGTGAACCTTTAAAATATGCAAACCCAGGCCTCTCTGCAGCTTAAGAAAACATTCTAGTGTTTATTCTCTCCTTCCACATTCCTTTCTCCTTCGTGAGGTTGTATTATTCATTTTGTCTCTTGGATCAATTCTATAGTATAAGTCTTTCAGTTTTCAGTCATGTTCCTTGTCAGTACTTTGACACATTTTCTGTTCATTTTACATACCAACCACAGATCCCCCCTCATCTCTCCTCCTGCTCCCCGCTGCCACCTTTCCCCCTCCTCTGACCCACGCCTCATCCCCTCCTGCAAAAGGTAAGTTCTCCCATGGTGGGGACAGCTAAGCCTTTGTACATTCAGTTGAGACATGACCAATACCCTCCCCCTTGAGACATTTTTAATGTGATTTCACAAGGTATTTATTCAGTGTTTGAGGTAGGTTATGCTCTTCTTTCTTTCATAAGCTTAAGTTTTAAGGACCTAGCTTGTATGATTCTGCCAACCATCAGGACAATGTTGTAGTTAGAACCTTTACATTTTTAGGTTGTTTCTGGTTTTGTTTTATT